GACGAAGTACACTGCTGAGGGGAGCAGCGGGCGGGTCAGGAGAGGTCTGCCACGCCATGTGGTCACCTCCGGGGCAGGCGGGATTCGAACTCATGTTTTAGCTTCTTAATGCTATGCTTTAACCCACTGCACCAACAGAGAGGGCTGCAAAATACTATTTTTAATACAATTTCTGGCAAAGGAAATGGGGCCACTAGGATTTACTTGAATAAATCATAATTTTTCTCTCCATTACGAAAACTGGTGTAGCTAGGAAGAATTATCCTACATAGCTAGAAAAAGGTTATGGTAATATCTGCTCAATTGCTGAGAAGAAAGCCAATATAGAAGAAAACAAAAACAAATTTATGAAGGGATAACCACAAACAACATAACTTAGAAACCTTTAAATGACACAGATACCAAATTCTTTTCATGCAAAAGCCTGTAGGAGCCAGGCTCTACCACCTGCAACCAAAGTTCACTCACCAAAATACTTGAAGAATTCCTCTGAATCATACAAATCATTATTTTATTCACATGAACTATAAAAATCCTTCAGTTTCCTATCTCTGTTCTACCAGCTATTCTTACACATTTTATCTTATGTTTTACCCTTATCCTATGTTGTTCTCTTAATGTGCTACTTTTCAGCTTTTATAGCCACCTCTTAAAATCTTAACAATGATCATAACTATATTTCAGATACTTTATTTTCCTAAATCATTTCCCCAAAATCTCCATTTAGCATGTTTTCTCCTTGAATTGAACACCACAGCAACTCTCTAATATTTAAAATATGCATATATGTTATATAAAGATTTTAGATACAAATAGCCTTAGATTATTCTTATACAGAAGAAAACAAAGTAAAAAGAGGTTATGTGACTCTAGGCAGTATGTCTAGAATAGAATAGAGCTTTAACACTCTTTCCTCCTCAAGTGTTCCTTTCTGCTGATCCCTCCATAATGTGAACTCCTGACATGGTCATTGGGTCTCCACTTTCTATTCCTATGTGCATTAGACTTTGTGCATAGTAGCTATTGCATATTGGTATCAAGTTAACAGAACTTGTGGCCTTATGTAAGTAGCTAGATTTATCAACAAGAGTTGATTGGTTAACAGAAGATTTTTCTTTACATAAATATAAAAAGCCACAGTATCTCTCTTTCTAAAAGTATACCTGTTTAATATCAAAAGCACTTTCTCAACATTTACTACCATCAACTTGTACTGAGGAAATATTTTTTTAATAATATAATAGCTTATTTTTACATCATTTTGTGCCTTTTTCCATATCAGTTGTAACCCCCATGGGCTTCCCATCACTAAATCACCCATGTGCCATCACCATAGACCAGTGCACATCCCTCCCCCCCATTTTTTGATTCCAATCCTCATTCCACCCCTGTAAAATGTCTCTGGTATGTAGTTGCTCATTATTATTATTTTTCCCCTGGTCTTTAATATTTTTATTTTTCTTTCTTGTGGCTAACTCGACAGGACCTCAAGTGCACCTGTCCACCTTGGCTAATGTTGTGCATGGGTGAGCATACTCCCCAGTAAGGCCAACAAACAAGTCAGCAGAGCACAGTTCACTCTGTCCTGCAAATAGCTGCAGCCCACTACTTTTTTTCAAGTAGAAACAGCAAGAAGCCCCAGACCTGGTACAAACATGCACACCACCCCCTGCATCAGGCACATTTCCTGTTTTTCCCTGCAGGAACAGACCCTACATATACCCGTGGGCGGTCCTAATAAACATTCTCTCACGGCTCCAAGTCTCCTACATTCTTGGGAACATAGTAGTAAGTGCACCCCTCAGTGGGTTAGCAACACTTTCTGACTTATTTCACTAAGCATCGTCTTTTCCAGCTCCATCCATGTTTCTACAGAAGGCATGAGTTTATCTTTTTTGATTGCTAAGAAATATTCCATTGTTGCATATGTACCACATTTTTTTTAGTCCAGTCTTCTACTTTTGGGCATTTGGGTTGATTCCATATCTTTCCTATTGTAAATAATGCAACAATAAATATGTGGGTGCAACTGTCTTTTTGGATCAGTGTTTTTGTGTCGTTTGGGTAGATACTTAGGAGTGGGATTGCTAGGTCATATGGAAGCTCCATTTTTAGCAGTTTGAGAAACCTCCAGTTTCCCATAGTAGTTGTACTAGTTTGCTTTCCCACCAGCAGTTCAGAAAAGTGCCTCTTTCTCCACATTGAGGAAATCATTTTAAGCAACCTCTACAAAGCAAGGTAATTTGTTGTATATTTCAGTATACTATGTCAAGTACCACAAGAAAGAAAGAGATGATTACAGGGAATCAATCTCATTTCCTTATATACAGAAGTTTAATATTAGTTAAGGAAATAGAATCTTCATGCTATAAAATTAGACAGGATAGAATTGGCTTTAATAAAGTAATTATCTACAGAACTGTCAAGTAACTATGTTGCTTGAAGTCTAAAGCAAGAAAAGGAAGAAAGAATAGTCTTTGTCACCCCATCCCAAAAGAAAAACAATTAGATAAACAAGCAAAACCCTGTATGTCATAGAAAAGGAAAAAAGCAATACTTCTTTCTTTAGATAATCTAGTTGGGAACAGATACAAAGTTCATTCTCAATGTTGTTTTCCTATAATACCTAACATTTAAAGCACTCAGCCCACTAACCTACTAATGAACAGTGTCCACAATATGTATAGGCAGAATTCACTTTCTTTAAAAGAACTTAAATAGAAAAAAACCTTAACGGGGCCCACCCTGGTGGTGCAATGGGGTAGGACACAGCACTGCAAGCTGGCCACAACCACTTCAGTGCGAGTTCGATTCCTGGCCCAGAAGGTGACCCACATGGCAAGGCAGACCTCTTTTGTCTTGCCCATTGTTCCCCTCAGTAGCATATTTCATTGATTTGCCTTTACTGTTCCTGGCTTTATCTCTGGTGAAGCCTTTCATCACCCCTGCATCTCTGGCTATATTCCAGTTCTGTAAATATAAAAAAGTAAATCTTTAAAAAATTTCAATCATAATCTTTCCTAATTTTATAGGAAAGGTTTATAAAAGGTTAAGAGTCATAAACAAACAATGACCCTTCAAAATATGAGGAAATAGCTTACATACATTAACATAGTTTACAGATTACATTGTTAGTGGCTGGTGAATGAGCAATGAGAAGGCAACAACAACCAAATAAGAGATAAGATACCATTTCTTCATTGCATGTAATTCCAGGAATTTGTGCTGATTTCAACATAGAAGTCATCTGCATGACTTATAGCAGGGTGAGGTCTCTTTTACCTTCCCTTAGTTTATATTTAATCTCTCATTATAGACTCAGAAGCAATGTTATATTTTTTTAGTGCTATAATCTTTTTCTTTTCTATACAAGGTGCAAGCTGTGTAGAGCCTCTGAATCTGACAGTTATTAGTCATGGAAAAAACAGTCAAAATTTAATTATGACCTTATAAAGATATGTGATTATATGCTATATATATGTGCTTTAACAGGAAATCTGCAGATTTAATCACTCCTGGAAAAACAGCAGATTAAATATATAATTTGATATGTAGAGATAGATTGATAAATATGTAGACAGATAGTTGCATAAGGCAGTACAAGCCCCATTCTTTCCCACAATAACATTATACAATTTTGCTGCACAAATAAACATTTTCTGATATTCACCTGCTATATCTTTTTCACAAGAAAAAGAAAATGACATTTACTAATCAAATGAAATTTCTTTTTCATAATCAGAAGCTATTATTATTCATTGACCTCCTAGGTCTGGAAACACTTACTGTTCTTTGCATTAGCAGAGGAGAGTCTGTTCCTTCCTCTTTAAAACTTGATTCCATACCGATTATATCCTCAATAACATCCTCCATCTAGCAACAGATAACATAATTAGAATATGTGCATAAAGACACAAGTTTTACTGTAGCTTGATATCAGAGACACATTTTTTTAGAATATTTGAATTAACATTAAATATATATTAAATACAGAACATTTTAGAACCTAGAATGTTAGTAATCCTGACACTCTTTCACTTGTGCTTCTTTTCTTTGCATTTGCTTCCAGCAACTGGCAGCTGATATCTGAGGAAATCACCACAGTCCAGCCTCTTGGAAATTAGTATCTACATAAATAGAGGGGTTATCATGAAATAATACCTCAAGCTGTATTTAACATATACAGGGGTGAATTTCTACAAACTTCATTTTATTTCAAATGTTCTGATTACATCTTATAGGTGTATAGCCAAATATTGGTGGTCAAACTTTATTCAGTTAGTTCATATGAATTACAAACTAACTACATGAAAGAATATTTTCCCTTCTTCCCTAATGACCTATAATATAAATAGTAGCAATAACAACAATAACAGCAGTAATCACAGACATTTTAACCTTATTTAATTTTTAAAGATTCACTGACCTTGAATTAACTTAAAATTAAAGAGGCATATATGGCTGCAAGGTACTGTATTTGAGAGTGCAACTCTAGATTTTGGTGCAGATTTTAGTTGATATTTGACATGCACTGAAAGATCTTTAACTAGGAAAATAAATGGGTGTAGTGTGTTTATTGAGTTCAATCTAGTGTTTTTTAAAATGCATTCTTAGTTGTTAGTAAAATCAAATTTTAATTTCATAGTATTTCTCACATTCACATTCTGCCATTTGATGGACAAAATTATAATGAACATTTATGATAAAGTGTGCTAAAAACAATTTAGAATAAATGTATTTCTTTGGGGACACTCCTAACAACTTTAGTAAAAGTTACAGATAAGACATTCTTCCTGTCTTATATCATAAATGATTAATCTATTGAATCTTTCATTTTTCCCTTTTGCCTATAAACATGTTTGTGTTTCAGAAGGAAGCCCTTCTTTTCTATGTGTGAAAAGCCATCCTTCTTGAGATTCTCCTTTCTTTGATGCCTCTGCTTCTCATTTTGTAACACACATACATGACTGTCTTTTGTCATAATGTGTTGAAGCTACTGGTGTTCCCATTATCCTAAATTTAGTTTTATATCTATTACCTATCCAAAAACCTTGCTTCATAGCATTCAGGAAACTTCATAATTAATCATCTAAAACCCAGTTATTTTTTAAAAAGGCAACAAATACAGCATTTTATGTTAGTTAAAAGAGAATGTTAAAATCTATGGAAGAATCACAAATCAGCAGAATAAGTTTACTCAAAGTATTTTAAAAGGGACAATTATAGACAAAGAAAGGACAAATTATTTTGACTAAAAAATGCAGATAATAGGCAAGGAACAAAGGTACAAAGACAAGGACAATATTTATAAGATTTAAGAGATTTAAAAGTAAAGACCAAGAATAAAACTTCTTAAAAACACTGGAGCAAGAAAACAATGATATAATAAAATACCAAAGCTAAAGAACTTTGAACCTAGACATTGTAACCTATTATATAGATCCTCTATGTATGTGAGAAAATATTTCTTAGGCATAAAAACTCAGTTTTAAAGCAAAAGTCCTTTGGAAAATATCCTTTCAGAAAGTACTGTCAGAAGATGACTAAACTATGAAATCAATAAAAATATAAGAAAATTAAATTCTGTGGTCTAAATAAAAATTATATAGGGCCCTCCCTGGTGGCGCAGCGGGTTAAAGCACTGCACTGAGAATCTAAAGCCGCTTCCGCATGAATTCGATTCCCGCCTGCCCCGGAGGTGACCACATGGCGTGGCAGACCTCTCCTGACCCGCCCGCTGCTCCCCTCAGCAGTGTACTTCGTCCATCTGCCTGTCTGCTCCCCACTCTGTCTCTGGTGAAGCCTCTCGCCGCCCCTGAGCCACTGGCCTGTACCCCAGTTCTGTATGCACAAATAAATAAATATTTTAAAAAAAAATTATATAAATATTTATAGAATTTATACACATAGGCATTTATATACATATGTATGTGTAAATTCACATATGTCTGTGTGCATTTGTTTATATATGTATAAATTTTATAAATATCAATACAGAAAGATAGATGAAACAATAATAAATTTTTACTTGAGTGCATGGCATAGGGGTTAAAGTACCATCACTATCAAGCTGTGACCAGCCACTGCAGCATGAGTTTGACCCCTGGCAAGGCAGCTGACCCACTTGGCACAGCAGACCTCTCCTTTCTCACCCGCCACTTCCTTCAGCAGTGTATTTTAGTCACCCTGTGTGTTCTGCTACCCACTCTATCTCTGGTAAATTCTCTCACTCCCACACCTCTCGCATACATCCCAGTTCTTATATGTATAAATACAAAATAGTAAATCTTGAAAAATAAAACTATGTTTCAAGAAATACCAGAAGTCACAAAAAAAGAGATTAAAAACCAATCTGTCCACGGGGATTACAACTGAGATGAAAAAATGTACAAAATGATGTAAAAATAAATTATTATATTATCTTAAAAAATCTGCCCAATAGAGGCTAGAAATTCTTACAGTCCTAAATTATTTTCTGAGAAATTTCATTTTACTTTCAGCATTTGTTTTTTTTTGTTGAGCTTCCTCTCCTGGATGGCTTCCTAGTTAAACTCATCACCATTTCTGTGTCAACCTCTCCACCTCTTCTGACTTCCATACTTGTGTTAACAGTGACTTCATTTGCATTATTCATAAAATAAAGCTCTAAAATCTCAAAATCATACCAAACTCATTTTTCCTCCACATACACCTATGACACTGAGATCATCAATACTCCCTTCTCTGATCATTTCCATTATTCTTCCTTGATTCAGGTTATCATTACACTTCATTGTAATATTCTCTCGTCAGTCTACTTGGCATCAACCTTTTTCACCTCAGAATTTTCCATTCAGCTGCCATTTTAACTATCCCTGTAGCACAACTTAGTTTTGATTATGATATTTTTGAATTCAGAAACTTACTCTATTCCTGTTGCAGACACACTGAGAATCACCTACTGTCAATTTCTTCTTTTTTCCTTACTTAAGAGCACAGACATCCTTTGGGGAAGCAATATGCCTAGAAATTTATTTTTCCTCAGCTGCCATCAGCTGGGTGTGACTGTGTGGCACAGTTTTGACAATAAATCATAATTCTATTATAAATTCTATGAAAATCTGCCTTTTGTCATATAGATTTCCTCCTTATCACCAAGAGATATGTATGGAACAAAAGCTGTACAGTAGAAGAAAATACAGAGAAGGTACTTGATCTACTGACATTACAGAGAAACTTGTATCAGCCTGAGATGACCTAATTCTGGGGAGTTTTTTAAATTTACATTTGAGATCCTCATTCCCCAATGTTCCTTTACAAGTCTAGTCTCTTCTGTGCACCAAAATGTATAACCTCAGACACACTCCTTGCCTTTCTATGCTTAGTTTATAGTATCCTTTCCTCTTAAAATATCATCTCTTACCACCCCTGATGATGAGCTACACATGTTTCTCAGCGTTTGGTTCATGTATTGATCCTGTAGGATACCATCTCTTTCCTCAGATTTCTAGAGTACTTTGACTTCTCTTTTTTTATGGCCTTTCTCATATCATGCCATTACTCTATCTGCTATACGAGATTACACTGCACCAACAATAGAGTGAAAAAATAGCACTCATTTATAAACTTGTCAAAAATTATGATTTGTACAGTTTTTATCCAGATGATATAGATATGATGAAACTTTAAAAGAATAGGGGTTCAACATAAACAGAGCACCACCAAGAAAAGCAGTTTAGAGAAGAGACCTGAAGTAATTTTGAAGAGATGGAATTACTTTGACAAGTGATTATTCTGAGGATCACTAATGAATGTTTATAGCTGAAGTACAAATTGCCATTGGGCCTACTAGAGAGTAAGTCTGTGTTCAAAGCATGGCTTTAGTGTGGAAGGATTTTGTGTGACAGGAGTACAAATTTGGATTTTTATCCTCCAAAGAGCCATGCTACAAAAGGTTTAATTTGATTTTATATTCCATTGTCTTGTAGAACTTCAATCACCAAATGAGATCCAGTTTCTACCCCCTAAATCTGGAATCTAAGGGTGCTCTTACAGAGTTCTGTGGTGGTAGTTTAGTAGTTATGATTAGCTTCTGGACTTTTCAGTGAAATTTTAAAATGTTCCTTTGATGTCACAAAAGGTCCAGCTTAGGAAAAAGAAACCCAAATAATGGCAATAGTCACCATCTTTTGAGCACTCTCCCCTGCCCACCCCTGAGCTTGTACTAGGAGCTTTATAAATGTAGGCATCAAAATGCTTCAAGATGAAAAATGTGAGTGAGAGCAGTTAAGGATTAACCGCTAGTAAGTGGTAGTTCTAAACCTATCTGACTATAGCTAGTAAGTGGTAGTTCTAAACCTATCTTGTTTGAATGCAAAGACTACAATTCCTGCTGTCTGACTTTTTCTCCTGGCACCAAATAAAATATTTAAGAAATTTCAACAACACTTTAAATATTACTAGATATTAACACTGAGAGTAATGGGGGTACATAAAAATATACACTTAATTAAAGTTCAAAGAGAATACACACTGATTGAAACCATGAAAGACTGACTACAATTATTAGTAAATTGACAACATTGATGGAAGACACACACACAGTACAATGCTTTAAAAAATAGAGAATTTTTTCTTATAGCCAATGTACATGTAGTCCCTAGACCACTTCAACTATTGGTACTTTCAACCCTTTCTAGGCATGCAATTTCCTTTGAGTGATATCATCCAAAGGACCAACCAGATCATACAAATTTCCCTTATAATGTATAAACATTAATAAAAAAATAAAAGTGCATTGAATGTGTAAGGGAAAAAAACATTATTATATTAATTAAGGAAAATCAAGGCTGAATGTTACTTATGCTTTCTTATTTTTTAGAAAATGTATTTCATAAGAAACATAATAAGATCCTCTTTTGGGTTTTGTCTAAATTGATTAGCCTACACATATGCTTTGGGATTTGATCTTTCCTTTGGAAATCAATCTCCCACACAAGCAAATGAACTTTGGAAGAGTGTAGTTGTAAGACAAATTGTATTGGGTATAGTTCTAATATTTACCATACAGATGATTTTACCCTACACATATTTTTATGATCTTCAGAAAATGAATAAAGAACCTACATTCTTTTTTTTTTGAAAATTTTTTGTATACTCACTATTGAAAAATCTTAAGTAAATATACATGGAGATATTTATATTCAGTTTGGATTTCAGAGGGTCCTGTTTTGTGTTGGTTGTTATTTGATTAAACAATCAGCAGGTCATTTTTTTTTTTTTATTTCCAGTTTAACAGATATACTGCAAAAAATCTCCCACTATGATTTGGAATTGAAATAATGGGATATTTAGCAGTATTCTTTTATGCCCAGAAGTTATAAGCTTAGTGGACAAAAAGTAGAGTCCTGAAATCAGTAATAATCACTAAAAATATAGATTAGGAGATTAAACCTGGGAGATCAATTTCTATCAATTTATCTAACAAATCAAATGGAAAAAGAGAAAAAATAAAGTTCAGATATAGCTTTTCTACATTGTAGAAACTATAAATTACCAAGTATAGTTCTACACTAAGACAGTAAAAAATTCTTTCTTCTAGGTCTAGTTGTTTCTCAGTTCTATACATTCTTCCATATTTTAAAAGCTGTACTTATAATCAAGTCACAATAATCATATCCAATATGATAGTCTTATGCACTTTTATCCATAGTACCCCAAATTCCTGTTTTTTTAGTGAATGACAGAGAAGTAGAAAATAGAAGGGACTGAATACTAACCCACAGTAAAAATTCCAAATGTAATTAAAAAAAAGTTTAAGTTTAGGATGATTATTGGACTTATCCTAATGACCATTATTTCTCAATAATATATTTACTGCTATTTAAACAACGTCTGCCTGCTATACTTCAGTGGATATTTTAGCTAATGGTATCAGAAAATCTTTACCATTAAAGGGAAGTCATCTTAATACATATTACTGTTAGACTTTATTTTGACTCATATAGATATGTAATCGAAATGAGTATTAAAAATGAATTGTATTTTATCATGCATGATTAACAAAATTAATAAAAACTAATGAACTGAAATACACCTCTGTGAATTTGCATTTGCAATGTTTACTCTAAAAATGTTCACTTTGATTTCTACAACAGTGTATTTTTAATCACAGAAACTGATTATATATTTTCAGCCATTGGACATACATGCCACTCTTCATTGTCATCTTCTTTCCTAAGGGTTAGCAACTTGGTGAATGCATCCCCAGAGAGGCCAGCCTCACTTTCTGGAGGTGGGTGTCTGTGCTGTATCAGAAGCTCAGAGGTTGGAGGGCGTGGCTGTTTAAGAGTCTGAGTGACTATCTGGTGGTCAAGGGTCATGAAGGGTTGTCTTGGGACCTTTTGTAGCTGTGTCCTTGCAGGATGTTCCAGGTTTGCTGGGGCCTATGTAATAGAAATGAAACAAATTCAATGTGCAGTTTCATCTGGTAAATCAGAGTTCCACTTTCCACAACTCAGTTATGACAATAAGCACACAACTCATCTAGTTTTTCTGATATTTAGAGTCTAGGCTTCTGCCATATTTACATAAGATCTTCATGGATTGTAGCTCTTAAGAGGTAGCTTAAATTTCACTAAAATACTTTTAATACTAATAGTTTTTAAGAATAGTTCTTAAGATAACATCCAAATGAAACAAAATTTGTAGTAAAAATATAAAACAGTGATAATTTCTAAGGATCTAGAAAGTTTAAAATAAAACAAGGAAATCAGCTGATTCACTAATCTTAGTGATTTTATATAATAAACTTCTTCATTGCTTTTTATAACATACAAATATTCCATGGACTATCATCATGAATTATTATTTTTTTTAATTATGCATGAAGGAGCAGAAACTATATTTACTAAACTAGCAAGTGTGACACTTTCTGAGTGGTAAAAGTCTAGGTGATTCTTTTAAACTTTTCTATATTTTCCAAAATTTCTATAGTGAATTGATTTTTATGTCTTAAAAAATCTTATTTTAAAATATTTCTTTATTGTCACCTAATAATAAAAATAATTTGGAAGATTCATTACAAGTTGACAGAAACATTCAGAAAAAATGTAATCAGTGTTATTTGCCGACTAAACAAGTATTCAATAGTTCCAAATGTCCTTTTATAATATAGACTTAAAGCTCTGAGCGTCTTCAGTCTGGTTATCATAGTTAATGATATACCATTATTTGTCTAAAAACACTTTATAGCATTTCAAGCTTTCCCTTTAAAACTCTGAAAGAAGTATTGCCTGCCAGTCCTCTTTATATTTACTATGCTGTAATGTGGCTTCTAATACATTTTCCTCAAGTGGCCTATATATAAACCTACTTAATATTTCCCTCATGTTAAACAATAGTAAAGATTGCTGTACAGTGCTTATTTTTCCTTTTATTTCACTTATACAAACTACTCCTTAAATCCCTTAACATACATTAGCTCAGATAAATAGCCTTTACAAAGTATTTTGCATTTAAATTAGCTGGTTTGGGGTACAATATTGTAGTAGTTACTTTAGTTTAATTCTGTTATGCTGACATTTTTAGCATTATTTTAATTGTACTACCATAAAATAATTTTTCAGCCATATAAAAAGATTAAGATTGGTAATAAAGATTACACATATTACTAATTATATTGCTGTAAGCTTTAAAGTTGTAAAATAACATTTCATTAAAATGCCTGTGGTGATCTTTTTCAGGGTAGCTATTTAGATTTTCCTACATTAATCCTCCTTAAACTGTGTACATTTACAAAACATACATTATAAATAGTATTATCAAATCCACAGATCTGAATACTATGAAATTGAGTGGTAAAAAACATTGTGTACCTCTAAGTAAAAAATCTCTCCTCTTCTGAGAATCGTATGTTGGCTTAGAAATTACAACATTCATTTTATACGTATCTTTTATTAACTCTAAAGTATTCAATGGAGTGCTTATTATATTTAGTGTTACATTAAGAGTAAAAAAGTCATAGATGTGATACCTGGAATCTAGGAATTTACAATCCAGTTTGTCAGTATTCATATAAAGTCAAATATAATCAGCAAAAAAAAAAAAATAACTTTACAATGTGCAACAGTTACCGGGCATTTTATCAATAAATTTATTATTTAATTTGTTTTATTTAAATTTATACTTGATTTCATTTGGTCACCATTTCAATTGTAGAAGATAAGTATCATTAGCACCCCAATGACTACATAGATGAGGCCTCCAAGACTAAAAGAGGATGAATGGCATGTCTACTATCATTTTACTAGTAAGAGATAGAGCTGTAATAGAGTATGTTTCCTAAACACCATATAATTTTGACTCCAGAGGAAATGAATGGAATACAAAAATTCAGTGTTCTCTCTCTCTCTCTCTCTATATATATATATATATGTTTATATGTATGTATGTATGTATGTATATATGAGGGTGCTTTTTGATAACTAGACAGATTTAGTACCTATAAAACAGGTTATGGAAAGAGATGGTCCTACACAGAAAACAAAATGAATGAAAATCCAAATGTAAAGAATCAAGATGAAATAAGACAAGAAATTACAAATATTAACTTTGATAAAAATTTTTCATCTCCTCTTTAAACTATTCAATACAGAGACAAAATAAAACATAAACTGGAACTAATTCTAATTCTGCCTAAATTACTGTTCTTTCATTAGAAAATTACAATGGTTTAGAAGGCAAAAGTGAGTACTGTTTGGCCTCTATTTAGCAACGTCATTAAAGAAACTGTATGGATCTAAAGGCATAATGGAGCAGGGGGAGTCAATAGAATGTGATTAAATGATGCCTTCCAAATCTGTCTTTTCTTTCTTTTTTGAGTTTAAATATATATATTTTTAATTTATGTATATTTGAAGAACCAGGGTACAGGCCAGAGGTGCAGGGGCAGTGAGAGGATTCACCAGAGACAGAGTGGGGAGCAGAACAGGCAGATTGACAGACAAAGTACACTGCTGAAGGGAGCAGTGGGTCAAATAAAAGAGGTCTGCTGTGCCATGTGGGTCACCTAGGGATTTAGGGGTCGAACTCGCACTGAAGGCTACGGCTAGCTTGCAGTGCTGAGCCCTAACCAGTTGAGCCACCAGGGAGGGCCCAAATCTGTCATTTCCACTGATGGGTAGGTATCAAAAATGGGACAACACTGTAAAACATCAGTTAAATGAAAGCAATTAAATGACATCAATTTACCAACTTTTAAATTGCAGGCATCTTAAGATACCACTAAAACAATGTATTTCATTTACTGAAGTTTACAGTATTTTGTGGGTAAGTAAATGAATTTACAGATTGCTACTCTTCATTTACTCACTTATTTAAGAACTACTTTTAAAGGACCAAGGATATATGTGCGTAAGTGGTGTGCTGAAAGTAGAAGGAAATTTAAACAAAAGATGTCTTCAAATAGCTTGTAATCTAATCAGGGATGAATAGGAAGGAAAAATATGAGTTGTCCAGAACAAGACATGGTTTATCCTGCTTACTGCTGTACTGTGGACTTCCTACATATGACATGAAGGAGATACTTTAAAATGTGTATGTATGTGGTCAGTGAATGAAAATGTGAATGAGTCATTAAAGTACAGTATGTGAATCATTATTATGACTACAGAGAAATTTAAGAATCAACAACAAAAGTGGATAAACCATAATCAGAATACCCAGAGCTTAATCTAGAAGAATGAAACAGCTACAGATTGTGATTTGGTTAATTGAACTGTTAGAGATATTAAGACAATTAAAATTTAAAGAGATTTTGCTATTACTAACAATAAGTAAAACCTACCTCCAGAACTCAAAATTATCTTTGAATCTTATCATCCCAATGAGCAGCTCTTGAAAACTAAAACATTACAGTGGTCAGCTTAAGTCCAAAGATTTGTCTATGTTCAAAAATCTGTTTTATTTCACTTATAATAACTTACTTAGAGTCATCTATTTTCCATTAACAAATGGGAAGTGTGAATGTGGTAAAAGATATTCATACCAGAAATGTAAATTAAAGTGCAGCATTGCAGCTAAGTACAAAATTTACCTATGGGCATCCTGGCAGGTAAGTAAAAATAAAATTGAGAGAAATTACTAGTTAAAACCTTGTGAAATTGCATATTATCTGATATTTTTTGATTTACAAAATATCACTTCCACATGGTTCTAACTAAAGTGTATTTCTTCTTAAGTATTTAACTCATACCATTCTGATGGAAGACAAATATTTTTAAGATTAATATCTGAGATTTTGTAACCAGAACAAATTCACGAACAAAATTCCAATAACAACTATGTAACTGTGCAATGAATTTATTTGCATGCCCATATTTTAAAGGTATCTATTGTATTAAATTGGGTTAGACAAGTAAACATACTCAAATTTGTCAGTGGGAGGTTAACTGGAGTTGAGGAGTACTTCAGAACCAGAGGCATAACAGGGTGAGGCAAGCAACAACAAATGGAGGGAAGAAAGGCCCAAAGCATCCTGCAAATCAGTCCTCCATGCTAAAAACCCAGAGGTGTAACTTTTTCTGCTCTGACTTGCCCCTTATACAGGACCTACAGCACTGAGTGTAGTGCTTTCTAAAGTGCTTCACACTGCAGTGTCCAACTTCCAATACACTAACCCAAAAGATCACCTGGTTACATTATTACCTCATATCAATTGTCTCAAACTACATTTTAGATAGAATAAATAAATAAAGAAAAATATTCCAGTATTTTGAGTTACAATTTTGAAAAACTTTATTTAAAATGTCTATTATGTTTTTTAAAAAATGCATTTCAATGTGCAAAAAGATTCCCACAGTCTAATAAGTGAATGTGGGACTTTCAAGAAATGAAAAACATGTGTTGGTGAATGATAATTAAATGCTTAAATCCACAAAAAAGAGAACTAGGCAGTGTGCTTAATGGATAATCTGAATCATACAACCTCCTGCAAGTACAATGAACTAAAGGGAGGTATTGTTCAAGAAGAAAACTTAATTCCTGGTTGCACAAAACAATTGAAAACACAATAATAAATGTAAAATGTATGTATTTGTGACTCTTTTTCTGTTGCTACTTCTTTTTTTAGACTGGCATAGATGTAGAAATCTTGGCTGTTGAGAAAACAGGTAAAAATCTGTAAGAAAGCAGCCTAATGACTTAAAACAACAACAAAAAATATTAGGCTCTCATAGTAGCAGATGAAACAACAAAAGATGGTTTAGAGTATCTCTTATCTGAATTTTTTTTTCCTAATCTCAGAATTTTGATCAGTTTTAGGAGTGTTCAACTCTATAAATTAGCAAATATTTTGTTAGAAATTAATGAAGGCCAGCAATAT